TGGGAGCGAACAGTGGCGTCAGCATCAGCAGCAGGGGCAGGGGAAGCGCCAGAGGTGAGGTCAAAGAGAGAGAGGCCGTCCGCCCTATCGCACTGTAAGAACAGCTGTAGGTCATCTACCCAGACCTCAAAGTCAATGGCCTGACCCTCAGCGTCAAAAGTGAGGACACTAGGGGTGGCCATGACAGCAGTAGACCAGCAGTGCAAGCAGTAGGGGAAGAGCACGCAGTGACAGAGGGTCTGTGCTCACCGGACAGGGCTGCTCGGGCGGCTCGGCTGCAGGGCGGCTCGACAGCTGGGCGGCTCGGCGGCTGGGCGGCTCGGCGGCTGGGCGGCTCGGCGGCTGGGCGGTCGGCTGCACGGCGGCTCGGCTGGTGGGCGGCCGGGCGGCTCGGCTGCAGCGCGGCTCGGCGGCGGGGCGGCTCGGCTGCTCTGCTGCTGGGCGGCTCGGCTGCGCTGCTGCTGGGCGGCTCGGCCGCTGTAGAGGAGTGGCGGGGCCGCTGCAGAAAGGGCGGCGGGGCCGCTTGATAGGGCGGCGGGGCCGCTGCAGAGAAGCGGCGGGGCCGCTGCAGAAGGACGGCGGGGCCGCTGGGTAGGGCGGCGGGGCCGCTGCAGAGGAGCGGCGGGGCCGCTGCAGAAGGGCGGCGGGGCCGCTGGGTAGGGCGGCGGGGCCGCGAGATAGGGCAGCGGGGCCGCGTGGTAGAGTGGCGGGGCCGCGCGATGGGGCGGCGGGGCCGCGAGGAAGGGCGGCGGGGCCGCTAGGTAGGGCGGCGGGGCCGCGCGATGGGGCGGCGGGGCCGCGAGGAAGGGCGGCGGGGCCGCTAGGTAGGGCGGCGGAGCCGCGCGATGGGGCGGCGGGGCCGCGATGGGGCGGCGGGGCCGCGCGATGGGGGGGGGGGCGGGGCCGCGAGTAAGGGCGGCGGGGCCGCTAGGTAGGGCGGCGGGGCCGCGCAATGGGGCGGCGAGGCCGCGAGGTAGGGCGGCGGGGCCGCTAGGTAGGGCGGCGGGGCCGCTAGGTAGGGCGGCGGGGCCGCTAGGGCGGCTCGACGCGACCGTAAGGGCGGCACGACGGGCCGCTAGGAAAAAAAAGGGGAGAGCGCGACTCGAGGCGCGCTTCGGTGGGCCCTAGGAACAGTCCCTAGGAGGGGACCTGCTCTGATTCCATGTAACAATGAGAACGAGAGAATGGACTATGAAATGAAGTGAGTACAAATATGAAACCCTAATTGGTTGTACCCCCTATGGGATACCCCACTATAGCCTACACAACAGCATAAGCTATAATGTTCTGACACGACGGTGCGAAAATGAACCTCTTTTGGAAGGGGGAGCAATTCGCGCAAGGTGTTCTCAACGGAGATATCTACCAACTCAAGACGTACCCGAGAGCGGCTTCATCCAACGTGGCGCAAGGCTCCAAGGCGACTCTCAAGGCGTGGCATAATCGGCTTGCGCACGCCAACTACGACTCGGTCAAGGAGTTGGCCAACAAAGGACTTGCGAAGGGAGTCGACGTGATCGCCGGCGACGACGAGAAGGGCGTGTGCGCGGCGTGTGTCGAAGGAAAAATGGCTCGCAAGCCATTCGGTAGCCGAACGTCACCCCTCGCTAAGGACCCGCTTGCACTTGTTCACATGGACGTGTGTGGACCGATGCGGCATGCATCAAAGGGAGGAGCGCGGTTCCTCTTAGTGATGCTCGACGACGCGACGCGGATGTGTTGGACCCGACTTTTGAAGGCTAAGGGAGATGCGGTCAAGGCGATTCAAGAGTGGGCGCTCGAAGTTTGCGACGATGACAAGAAGCGGATCAAGTGTATTCGCACCGATGGTGGTGGCGAATTCGTGAATGCGGAGCTCGAGAAATGGATGAAGTGCAAGGGCATTAAGCACGACGTCACAACACCCTACACACCCCAACAAAATGGAGCGGCGGAGCGGCTTAATCGCACGTTGGTGGAAGCCGTTCGTTCTCTTCTTCAACACTCTAAGCTTGGGAAAGAGTGGTGGGGCGAGGCGAGTTCGCTAGCGGCGTGGATTCGCAACCGTTTGCCGACGAAGGTGCTCCCGGGAATGACTCCGTTCGAAGCATGGACCGGAACGAAGCCGAACCTATCCCGCCTTCGCACCTTTGGGTGCCTTTGCTACTACCATGTACCGGATCCCCTTCGCCACAAGTTGCAACCGAAGGCTCGTGCGGCGATCTACTTGGGAATTGCGGCGAACGAGCGTGCGTGGCGAGTGTGGGACTTGGGCGACAAGTGCGTCGTCACGTCTCGGGACGTGGTCTTCGATGAAGACAAGTTCCCGTCGAAGGAGAAACCCACTCAACAACTCACCTTCATCCTTCCGCCACGAGAGGAGGTTGAAGAGAGTGAGACTCCACCTCAAGTGGAGAAGGAAGCCGATGGAGGGGGAGCGAACAACGAGGATAGCATTGATGATGTCGTGGAGGTGTCACCAACCGAGGCGGCAACTACCTCCACACCTTCCTCCCTACCATTGGCCTTGACCCGCGAGCGTCGTGAGGTTCGTCCTCCCTCCAAGTACAACGACTACGCTACGGTAGCCGTTGGGGAGACGGATAAGGAGGGCGCGGCATTTTGCTTCGCAACCAAGGGTGATGATGAACACGCGAAATCTCTCATGCAACCACCCCCTAAAGATTCATCCCGTGCATGCTATGAGCATGTTGGTTTGCACACCTAGTGGGTTGGGTGCAAGGGGGAGTGTTGGAGATTACGTGTGTTGGAAGCAAGGTGGTGGTGGGGCGTTTGTATGCCCCCAACCCACCGAATGTGTGACTTGTGCTCACCTTCGAGTGAGTTGCAGGTTTGCGTGGGGTTGAGGATTGACTTCGGAAGACCCATTCGATTCGGTGCCACATGGCAGCACCAGGAACATTCGAGACCCAAGGAGAATTCGGATCGGTGAAATTCGAGAGTCGAATTTCACCCTTTCGATGTTACTCGAACATTCGCGAGTGTAGCGGTTCGAGGTTACTTGTGCGATTCGATCTTGTTTGCATGCTATAAATCTGTTTTCTTTGTATTGCATGCCATCATAGTGAAACTCAGAGTTCTCTGTACAAGGTACATTCGAACACAAATTCCAGAGAGCTTCTTTACTTGCATTCAAGAGCACCACCTAGCACGTGAACGCCTATATCTCGGAGAATACTTAGGCGATCGACGTGTTTGACGGCTCGTTGGAAAGCTAAGACAGAGCTCTATCGTTTAGAACAACTCCCAGTTCCTGCAAAGTAGAGGAGAGTCCTCTACAACAGCTTCTTCGCGCCCCCTGGGCCTACCTCTGGAGTCTCTGTAGCCGCCACGTCGGCGAGTGCACTAGACTATCTGATGGGGTAACAATGTTCTAAAGAAAGGTCGTTATTCGAATAAGCGGAGCCAGTTACCATACACGCCTCAAGAACTGTATCCGAAACTGGGAAATCGATTTTTTCTTGGTGAAGTGAGTTCGTTACTCGCTGGCACCTGGACTGCTACTGCATTTCCTATGCCCTGGCTGGAGGAATGGTGGAATTGCAGGGTGAAATGGCTGCACTACGACTGCGTTTGGTTGCTGGCTGTCTCGCTTGCCCGCATCCGTTTCCAAGTTGGAATACCTTCTGCACTGTACCAGCTTTTTCGCCAGGCAATGACTCAACAAAGCGAGGAACAGTGCACACCCACATCGCCAGTTCGTTATGTTCCTCCCTAGGAATAGGGTAATTACCTTCTGGGTAACCAACATCGAAGCCGCTGACGTCAAAAGTCACCTACGTGGCTCGATGGTACCCGTCAGATCATGCGCGCCCCTTCGTGGTACCCATCTTCCCTCCGTGGTACCCATCTTCCCTGCGTGGTACCCATCAACTGTGCGCGAATTCCCTGACTGGTACCGCAACATTTAAACTGAGCTGTACACTGTACAACAAGGGTTTCAATGCGTTTTTCAGTACAACAAGGGTTTCAATGCGTATTATAACAACGTTTACACACTCTAATTGAACATTAATACCCTTGAACATAAATGTTTGAACGTGCCTTACACTGGACAGAGTGCAACTTAGAAAGAAATCAACTCCTCTTCAAAAATCCTCACATTAACTCCGAACCTTCGTAAGCTCACACCACTGAACGATAGGTAGAGTGAATCTTGCGACCATGTTTCGCAGCGCTCAGTCGGTTATTTGAACGAACTTTATAAGGTTGTATGCAAATAAATTGAGCATGCACCCCCAAAGCTAAACATAAAATCATAAACAAATAATACGTACATTCGTTGGTTTTGGAAACAAAACAATACCCATAATGAAAATTAAATGTACCTTAAGTCAATATATACTTAACGTGTAAGTTGATTGTTTGGTATACGGATGTTTTTTTTCGGTTGATGCAATATATCAGTTTTACGTTATCTTATAGCACGTTATATTGTCGATGTTTCTTAGCCTAAACAAATCTACACAATGAATGTTTTTTATTTAAGAATCCAGCTTTTCTTCTACACTCTATTATAGGTAATGCGTGTGATAAATTGACTCGATTAGGTGGCACTTCGGGCTTCTGACTCTATTGAGCTTGTAAACGTTAAGACAATATACTGAAAAACGCATTGAAACCCTTGGTGTACGGTGTACAGCTCGGTTGAAATGTTGCGGTACCAGTCAGGGAATTCGCACACAGTTGATGGGTACCACGCAGGGAAGATGGGTACCACGGAGGGAAGATGGGTACCACGAAGGGGCGCGCATGATCTGACGGGTACCATCGAGCCACGTAGGTGACTTTTGACGTCAGCGGGCTCGATGTGAGTTACCCAGAAGGTAATTACCCCTAGGAATATGCTGCAGTGGACCAAAGCCCTGCCATGTCATGATTAGATCTTCAGCTCCTACCCAAAGACACGTGGCAGATTGAATGCTCTAAAGTACACTTATGCTGACAACTTTCTCACATCCTATATATTTATATATGTTGCACCAACCTTCATGTACAGTTCAAGCTTGAAGTTTCAGCCGGTTGAAGAGAATGAGGAAATGCCTCTCAGGTAATGAGAAAACAAAGCCCAGCTCAGCACCATTCGTGTGTCGAGAACCCTGTCATCCAACAAGCACACCAACAAACAACACAATCAGTCATTCGGCATATGTATTACCTTATGCCACCTGATTTTTTGGATGAAATCAATGGAGCATGATGCCCAGGTGCAGAGGGACGAGGAACGGCCTTGAGAAAAAGCGTGATCGTAGGTAGGGGAGGGACGACTAAGGCGAGTCACCTCTCCGTCGAAAACAAGCAGTTCCCCGTCCACCCAACGAGGGTTCTTGAAACCCGGCTCTGCGAGCTGACCCTGGCCAGGGTACCTCGCAACCTGAAACGACACAAGGCACAAAAACACATGTGGCATGCCTGTCAGGATGGCAAAAATCAGATCTGTGTTAAAGGTCTCTGCATCCATGTCGTGAAGGCATTGAAGGATCCAGATGCTCAGATTGAAACACGGTGCTTCACCCCGCTTGGTACAACCCATAAAACAACTCAAGCTGCCAGAGAGGAGCTGGATGCTCGAAAGGATGGTGGGATTAATGGGCTCCTTTGAAAAGCAACCCATACAGAGGACAGCCCGTGAAGAAGGGGATGCATAGTGCAGTGACTCACCACACCAAGCTCATCGGGGTACACCCCTCGGAACGGCATCTGCCAATGCCGGCCGATCTTCGCTCGAAAAGAGACCTGCAGGCAGAAACGCACCGGACACACATGTAGAGCAGTACTGACATCAGCACTCACACAAGAGCTCAAGGGGCTCAACATTACCACAAGCCAGCGACACAACAGCACCAGGAGCTCTCAGCCTCACACCACTCCACATCTTAAGAAGAAATCCCTTTCCAAGCCAAAAGTCGCAAGATGAATCCATCGCAGCAGGAGTTTCCCCAGGTGGGTCTCACCTCCCCTGCGAGCACATTGAAGTCGCCTATAAGCTTCATCCCCTCCACGTACTCAAACGACTGCACCATCCCAGAGGATAAACCGCAGGGAGAGCTCACCTTCCCTGCGGGAGTAACCCAAGGAGGACTCTCACCTTCCCAGCGGGCACATTGAAGTCGCCTGTGAGCTTCACCCCCTCCACGTACTCAAACGGCGGCACCAACGCCCGCTCGCCCTGCCTCTTTCTCCTCCCAGTACCCTCCCCTGCCTCCGCGGCCTCGCTCTCCTCCTCTTCCCCCTCTGGTTCCTCCCACGTGCCGAACCTACGCCTGACCTGAATAGCCTCGGAGGTGTATGGGCCATACGCACCCACGTACAAACCTAAGGGTGTAGGCGGGAGAGGCAAGCAGGGGTAAGGTGTAGTGAGGGTGTCCAAACGCAAACACAACCCATGAAGCACGCACACAAAAAAGCACAAGGGTATGATGATTCAGGCTGCAGAAAAAGAGCAGGAGAACGGTAAAGACTCAGCACAGAGCTGCATGTACAGAGGGGACAGCGCACCAGCAAAGGGGTCGGTGGTGGCATCGGCGGCATGGATGCGAGTGAAGGCGGTGGTGCGGGGCAGCGTGTAGCGCCTCCTCTGCACGTGCTGCACTGCCGTGCGAATCAGCTGCGCCACGTCCTTGTCCTTGAACACCTCCTGGCATGGCAGTGATGGGGCATGCAGAGTGAAGGAAAGGGCATGATAAGGGGACAATGGATAAGGGGACAACGGATAGGGCATGGACAAGGCATGGATCAGCTGCGCCACGTCCTTGTCCTTGAACACCTCCTGGCGTGGCATGGATATGGGGCATGGATAGTGCACGATAGGGAATAAGGGGACAATGGATACGGGGACAACGGGTAAGGCACGCATAGGACATGGATCAGCTGCACCACGTCCTTGTCCTTGAACACCTCCTGCCATGGCAAGATGGGGGGTGGTGATGGTAGGTTAAGGGCAGGTTTAAGGCATGGATATGGCAGGAGAGAAGGGTAACTGATGGGGAATGCATAGAGCGCGGATCCCTGGAAGGGAACTGTCCGAAGGGTGTGAAGGGAGCGCATGACTGAAGAGAGCTGGGGAGGAACACCGTGAAGCGGTCTGAAGGGCCTTACCGGTCCTGAGAAGCGGTCGACGCCCCAGAGCTGCTTTGCCACGTCCTCCGGCATCAGGTTGGCGGCTGCCCTCGTCGCTGCTGACGCCAGCCGCTCACTCACTGCCGCTGCCACCGCTGCTGACTGCGACGACGAGGAGGAGGAAGAGGAGGACGAGGGGGATTGGGAAGTTGATGGGTCATTTGTGGATGTTCCCGTGCTGCTGCTGCTCGCCCCATCCCCATCACCCTCGCTGTCCTCCACAGTGAGTACGAACGCGTCCTTGCCTCGCCACTCTATCCTAGCTGGCACCTTGCTCACGCTCTCCCCTGCACCGTCACCTGGGAACACCCCGCCCACCACCACGCGCACGGCAATGCCCTGCCGCCCCTCTGCATCCTCTGATCCATCCTCGCCATCGCCTCGCACCGCCCCGCCTTCTCCCTCACCAACACCACCACCCCCGCCCTCTCTACTGCTTCTGCCAGGACCAGATGCGCCTGAGATTCCCTCCTTGTCCAGCCCACCTGAAATCTCTTCTCTGCCTTCTCCTCTGCTGCTGCTGTTGCTGCTGTTGCTGCTGTCACTCTCACTGCCATTAGAGCTCTTGCTACCACCTGTGGTCATCCCGTTTCTCTCTCTGAACTCCCTCAGTCGCCTCAAGTCACGCTCTGGCAGCTGACTGGCACGCCTTGGGTCGTCTGCTCCACCATCCCTGCTCGCTGCTCCTGCCCCCTCTGCCTGTACCGGGGGCAATGCTGCCTCTCCTGCTCCAACTGCTTCACTATCACGATCACCCCCACCAGCGTCAGGTGACACACTCCTGGGTCCCTGCACACTGCTCTCCCCTTCTCCACTGTCACTCGTGCCACCTCTGCCTGGAAAAACCCCTTCACTGTCATCCTTAGTACCATCTGCTCGTAGTGACCCCTCATCATCCCCCACACCATCACCTGCACCGCGGTCACTTACAGAATCCCCCTCTTTTCCTCCCTCGGCTGCTGCTGCTGACGCTGCTGCCTCACCCGCAGCAGCGGCAGCAGCAGACTCCCTGTCTCTCGCTATCCGCTTCACCACGTCCTCCACTATTCGCGGAATATCTGCAGTCCCCGCCGCGCCCGACCTGTCCGGTGCTGCCACGTCAGCAGGGGACACGACCGGGAACACCCGCAGCTTCACGTCTGGCAACCGCTCCCGGAAGAAATCAAGGACCCGCGATAAGCTATCGTCGGCGCCGGGCGGGAGAGAGGAGGGGACAGAGGAGGCAGATGAGGCAGAGGAAGGGGAGGAGGGAGGAGAGGAGGCAGAGGAGGGAGAGGGAGGAGGGGTGGGTGGGACTGGTGAAGGTGAAACCTGGCCTGAGGCTGGATCTGCTGGCGATTGAGATGCACTGCCACCCTTCTCTCCTGCCCCTGCCACCGCTCCTGCTCCTGTTCCTGCCCCTACCCCTGCATCACCCAGCTTGCCATCATCTACTGCTTGCTTCTTCCCCCAGCTGAACGACACAGCATCCTGAACCCTTTGCACGCTGGATGGTGGCGAGGATGGGGCAGACGCGGATGCTGCTGATGATTGGGTCGAAGTTGGGGGGGCAGCATCGGTGGCATTGCTGCTGTTTGAGGAAGAAGTGCTGGGAGAGGGGCTTGTGGTGGTGGTGGAAGCACCTTTGGCCTGCATAGTGGCTGTCTCGTGGTGCAGGTACACCGCCTGCACGGGAAGCATACAAGGGACGTTGGAGAAGGGAGGAGTTGGGGAATGGCGTGGTAAGGGAGACATGGAAGCAGGGCCATGGGAGGAAGGCATTGGGATGAAGCGGCACAGTCGTGCTGGAAGTGGTGGTTCATGGTCATCCCAATGGCATTCCTTGGCAACATCATGTGTGATGCACCACAGGGCTACAAATGAACATTCCTGGGGGTGTGAAAGGCACTTGTGCAGGTCGCTGACACAACACAGTTCACACCTGGCGGTCGTATCGCTTGGGGTTGGTGGCATTGCGAGCCACATACACCTCAAAGATGGGAATGCCCTGCCCTGCCACGGACAGCTGCCTGCTCGCATCACGTGGACACAACCACAAACACGAAACATTCAAGAGGCGATCCTTTAACCTGCAGATGCAAGAAAGCAAAAACATGTGTGCAAATCTCCCCAGCGCATTTGCAAGCTATCCACAGGGGCCCATGTGCTCACACTCACCCCCCCTTGACCTGAACGGGTCACGGAACCATGTCTCTCAGAAACGACCTTTTATCACCGAGCCATGTGTGGCGCTTACTTGGCAGTGTAGGACTTGGCGAGCAGCTTGCCGTGCTGCTGTGACACGTGCACCAGCCGCCCAAAGGGGTCCGCCGACCCACTCTCGTCCAGCCCCGCCCACCACCCAACCTGCACACACGCACATGTAGAGACGCACATACAGAGATGAGCACGAGCACAGGGGAACCTGCTCCTTGCCCTCGCTCTTTCATCCTTGCACTGACAACAGACGAACCTGCGCTCTCTCCCCTCACACCACGAGAACGTCCCTCAGGTCACGCACGCTGCTCGCACTCACCAGGCCAGCGCCAGCATCGTCGCGCAGGTGCTTGGCATCGCCGTACCTCTCCTCCGCCACCGCCGCCTGCTTGCCGGGCGCAGAGGGTGAGAGAGAGAGAGAGCAGCGAGGTCAGAGGGGAACCAGTCAGAGGAAGGCGAACGAGTGGGGAAAGGAAAATGGCACAGGAAAGCAGGACAGGAAAGCGGGACAGGAAGGTCAGCAAGGATAGGACAAACAGCCATTGTTTTCGCACCTTGAGCTCCGTGAACACGGCAGCCATGGCGTCTTGGTCCTCCAGAGCGCGGATGGCTGCCTGCAGCTTGGCGGCTGCTGTGAAGTCCTCGTCTCCCACCAGGTCGTCCAGTTGGAACTGCACAGACAGAGCAGTGGGATGTAGATGAGTCCGTGAGAGAGAGAAAGACTTTTGAGTCGACTCAGGAGAGCAGGAGAGGAGCAGGAAAGAAGGGAAGGAGCGGAAGAGAAGGAAAGGAAACGAGAGCAGGAGAGAAAGGACGGAAAACAAAACAAATTCCAGTTTGCTGTCCCCACCTGCAGACTCGTCAGCATGGCTTCTCGCTCCTCCACCTCTCCAAACACCCTCTCCCACCGCTGCCACGCCGTCTCCCCGTTCGCATCCTCCCCCTCCACCTCCTCACCCCTCAATCCAACCCCTTCCTGACCAAACCCCCCTGGACCCCCCACAAGCCGCGTCTTATCGAAGTAATCTTGCAACCGTTGGGCTGCCACAGCCACCATTCCCTTGAAGGGATAGCTTCCGGATTTCGCGGCAGCGGCTGCTTCCTCGATCCGTTGCAAGCGCTCCTTGGCTCGCTCTGACAAGCTGCTGGTGCTGGGCTGCAACCATGGCTCGTCGGTTTTCTCCGGCGGATTCGCCTCGCGTTCAGTCTGATTACGAACATTCTTAATCACGGATGCATTTCGGGAATCATCTTGTTGAGGGTTCTTGGGGCTGGATTCGCTCGGATTGGACAGTTTGCCGATTGACGAATCTGGCGAATTCGGTTGTGCTTCGCCAAGCTTGTTGTCTGGGAATGTATCATCAGAGTTTTGAGAAGAATCGGGAGAATCGGATGGGTCAGGCTTGGAAGAGCAGCGTGCAGGTGGCGCTGAGACATGCTTTTGAAAATTCCTTGTCCGACCGAAACGCGCTCGTGAACACCGTGAGAGGAATTCTGTGCGAAATGAGTGACGGTGCGGGTGCGAAGATAGGAGGGAGCCTTGGCTGTTTGAAAGGCGAGATGGACGAATAGACAACAATGGTGTTGCAAGTGATGATGTCCGAAATGGCTGCGAGTGTAAGGTAGGTCGGAGTGCACGGGACGATACTAGCTTCCGAGGCCTAACAAGCAGGGGAGCGTCCAGCGTAAGCATGGCGGAGTCGTAAGCAGCAGCTGGTGGTCCTAACGCTAATGGAGCACAATGGTGAAAAACTCCCGGTTCCGTAGCTATTATGAAACGCGTGACGAAGTATCTGGACGATTTTTAGTCTTGGAATGGCAGACGTAGAGCCACCACCAGTAATAGGTTTGCTGACATAAGAAAATCTCTTCTCTAGCGTGGTTTCTTCACCTGATTTGCGATTTCGTCAGGGCTGGAAACTCGCTCTGGTAACCGTTTCGCGACTAGCTCGAGAGTGCCTCTCGCACAATCCCCCTCTGCAAAAGTGATAGTCCCGGGTTTCGGAACAGCCAACTGGGAGAACAGGCTCGTCGAAACCAGATCACCAGGCACGGCAGGGCAAGCTGAAGGGAAGAATGTCTGTAACCTGCCCACAGGCTTCTGGATTTTTGTTGCTGGAGACTCGGTTCAGCTGCGTGCAGGCTGGCTCTCTGCGGTGGCTCGCATCTGCGGATTCACCAATCAGACGAATGTGGTGTTCTTGACAAGCCAAGTCAGCCTGCTCTGGGTCCAGCTTGTGAAACTGCTCAAGCAGGAGCGAAGCCAGTGTTCGATGACCACGTGTTTTTGACCAATGAAAAGCTCCCGGAGTGCCTGCTCGTCAGGATAACATAGCTGGTAGTTTGGTTCGTTGAGCCTTGCCTCGACTCATACTCCCCACCCCATCGTGTCAATTGCTTTCACCCAACTTTTCCGCTTGAAGTATTCTCCTCATTCTTCCATGGCGGCTATTTAGGAATTCGCTTCCTTCGTGTTCCCTCGACTTCATCCCAGCTCACTAGTAATCCTAGAGCTTAGAGTTTGCATTTGACAGAATCATCTTCCCACTCTCGTAAAACGCCATGTTCACTATCTCTCCTTCCCAAGTTGCAAATTTCCAGCTTCACTCCCTAACCTCAACTCAGTCCGTACATTCACATCAACAGACAAAAACCGAATCCCACAGCTTTCCGCCACCATGCAAACAACCGCCTTACAACCCCACGCGTCGTCTTCGCCGCAGCTGCGCCGCTGCAGCGGCAGTAGGAAGCTCTGGGGGTGAGGCGGAAGCGATGGAGATAAACGTGTGCGTGGGGAAGACCTGCCGCAAGGACGGCGGGCTGCAAACGCTGGACCACTTTCGCGGCCTGGCGCCGCCGCACGTGAATGTGGACTCGTGTGGATGCCTGGGTGAGATGCGACCGCCATGGCGTATGGCGCATGGCGTACAGGATATGTTTAGATGCGGATAAGGGTGCAAGATAACAATCGTGTCCTCCGAATTTTTTGCAGTTTCCTCGCCTCAAAGTGTGAGCCTGGTCTCGCCGTTACGCACGGTGAGACAGCAACGTCCGGCACTGCTGTGTTCCTGACCCCTCGTTACAATCACAGGGCGGTGCGGAGCAGGCCCCAATCTGGTGCTGCTGCCGTCCGAGACGTTCATCAGCCACTGCAGCACGGCGGCGCACGTGGCGCGGCTGCTGGAGAGGCAGTGCGCGGCGGGCAGCGCGGAGACGAATCTGGCGGCTCTGGAGCTCAAGGGTCGCGGCAATGCAGCTTTTGAGAAGGGGCGAGCGGACGAGGCTGAGAAGCTTTTCACCCAGGTGCTTGCGCTGGGAGATGGGGGAGGGGGGTGAGGAGGAGGGAGCTCGGGATGTCTGAGTATGTTGCGATTGCTGCTGTTTCTCCCTTCTTCTTCCTCATTGGTTCTGGCCTCTCCCGCCTGCATCTCTCACAGGCCATTGAGTTGTCGCCTGTTGGGGGGATGCACAACCTGCTCTGCAACAGGTGAGCAGCGAAGTGCTGGTGAGAGAGGCTCCTCCTGTCATCAGGCAGACCCTTGCCTTTCTGGTCTACTGCTGTTCAGTGGTTGCTTGTCTGTCCAATGGTTTCAGCCTATTTACTTCCTGTTCACCTTTACCTGTGTACTACCTCGGGTGTGCTGCATCCCCATGTAACCAAAGGGCTGCTGCAAGGGTGGCATGTGGTAACCCTATGGGAGCACTGGAAGACGCTGAAGCTGCTGCAGCACTCAAGCCTGGTTGGTCCTCGGTAAGCCCCTTTACCTCTCTTTCTTCCAACTCAATGATGCTCACATGCCACCCACTCTACCCTTTCCTTCCTCAATGTTGCTGCATATCCTCCCAGCTCGCCTTCCTTATTCCCTCTCTCTCTCGTGTTTGCCCATCACCTTCGTTCTTATACCCCTCAGGCGGTGATTCGCAGAGCAGAGGCGCTGGCAGCGCTGGGGCGGGTGAGGGAGGCGCTGGAGGCGTATGAGAGGCTGGCCGACACAGACGCTGAGTTCAGACGCTCAAAACAGTTCCTGGTAAGTCAGGTGTCCGGACGCCGGCTGCCTGCTCGCAGCATTGCGCCAATGCCAGCAGTTCTGTTTTTCCAGCTATTGCATGGTAGAGGGTTATGTGTGCATGGTGCAGCTCTTTCAACCCTCTGCGTCCCGGTTTGTCACTGATTCCGTGCAGAGGAAAGTGAAGGAGCTGGAGAATTTGATGCAGACAGCACCATGATTTATTGTGCATGGCAACGTCAAACTGTGTCCCACTGCTGCAAGTTAAAATTGTTACATGCTCTGCTAAATATTGGTAACTCTTGCAGTGTGCATCACATCTGCATCGTCTTGGTACAAGCTGTTTGGGCACTGGACTACGTGGAAAACAAATATCATACATACCACATGCGTAAAAGCTAGTACACAACACACCACAATGGCGCTAGCCACAGCAGCTCTCTGCTGAGTGCGTCCCCTCACCGGGTCCCTAGCACACCCCGTTGGTCTTGGCAATGCTGTTCTTCTTGAATACCCTGAAGGTGCGTTGACGCAGAGCAGACGAGTCCATCGAGTGGCTGTGCTCCAGCTTATTGGGCGGCATCAGACGCGTGCCTGCCAGCGGCGACAGCACATACATCTCGTCCGCTGCCAAGTCGCGAGCCAGCTTGGACCCGGGCTTAGGAACCTCCACTGTCACAGGTGCATGCTCGGGCACCGAAGCAACCGCAGCAGCAGCGGCGTCAGCAACGGATTTGGTGCGCGGCATAGCAGTGCCTCGTTCCTCCAGGATCTTGAGAGTCATGCGCACGTCGTTCAGAAAGCGGTCGGCGAGCGAACGAGAGAAGTCCTCTCGGACGAGAGCACGGAGCATGGTGACGTGTTCGAGGTCAGGAGCCATGGTGTAGGCCGGGATGATCCACCCGAATTGCTTCAGCACGTCAGCAATGTCATACTCGTTGAAATTTCCGTTCTTTTCCGTTAGTGCAAAGGTGACAAGGGGCACGCCGACGTCCTTGGAGAGGATCTCGAAGCACCCCATGTCCTCTATGGCCTTCTTCAGATACATGGCGTTCGTCTGGCAGTTGCCTATGATCTTGCGGTAGCCCTGTCAGTGGCAGCAGCAAGGTTGGAGGGTTGGGAGGTGTGAGAATGGGACGGATGGGAAGAATAGGGAGGGATGTCAAGGAGGAGGTGGGAAGGGCTAGAGGTTGAAGACGGGGAGAGGGGGACAGGGACAGGGCAACCTGATGGGACGCGGAATCAGCCCCAGCAGTTGCTGAAATCTCATTTATAAAACGATCGAGCAGGGCTCACCTCAAAGCCAAGGCGGACGAACTGATAATACTGTGCGATCAGCTGGCTGGAACCTGCATTGAAAAATGTGGTGCGCAAGTGTGAAATGAGGGAGACAAGTGAATGCGTGATTACTTCACATGAGATTATGGATGTGCGTGGTGGGAGATAGGAGGAGGGGGTGAAGAGTGACGTGAAACAGCATCTTTCTCAGAGAGTTGGTTCCTTGGCACGAAATTGCTGCTCCCAAGCTAGCACCAGACCTTCACCCCACCATCCCCGAATGTTCCCCACTCAACACCAAATCGCCCGGCAATCATCCCATCTCAGCGCACCTTTGGAGAAGTTGAGCGTGAAGGTGGGCTGGTCCGCGCCCAGGTAGTTGACGTGGAAGATGAGGTCTTCGGGGAGGTCGGCCTTGCTGCGCCACACCACCCACCCCACGCCGGGGTACACGAGCCCGAACTTGTGCCCGCTCACGTTGATGGACCGAACCGTGGGTAGGCGGAAGTCCCACTCCAGGTCGGGGTACAGGAACGGAGCCACGAACCCGCCGCTCGCCGCGTCCACGTGGATAGGCGTGTCCCAGCTGCAATGCGAAGGGGAACAGGGGGATGCGGGAGTGTGGGGAAGACGAGAAGAAGCGGCTTCAAGTAGGGGAGAATGGACATGGATGCACGTGGAATACGAACGTCCGTTCGCCTAGAACGAGCATCCAAAAACATTTTGATCATGCTGCATACCCGGTCTTGGCATTCTTCTCCACGAGAAGATCGTTCAGAAGCTTGATGTCCTCGAACTCTCCGTTATAGGTAGACCCGAGAATGCCACAGATGCAGATGGTGTTCTCGTCAACGGCCTCCACAGCATCATGCGGGTCCATCACGAACGACCCTTCCTTCACATTCACGAACTTGGTCTCCACCTCAAAGTAGTTAGAAAACTTCTCCCAGCACACCTGATCACGGTTAGATGCAAGCGTTAAATGGAAAAGTGTTAGTGGTTATATCGAGACGACAGAAAAATAAAATATGTATTCAGCAACTTTTCAAGGAATGTAGCCTACCTGGACTTCAGAGCCGCAGACGAAGTTGGGCTTATCGTACGGCTTCCCCTCCGCCTTTCGCTTCTCCTGCCACTTGCGCTTGAACGCGAGTCCCGCCAGCATGATCGCCTCCGACGACCCAACGCATCCCGCGCCGATGGCTCCCTCCCCGTCTCCCAGAGGTGCGTTGAACAGATTCGCGATGATGTTCACGCAGCGCTCCTGCATTTGAGAGCACCAGAAGACAAGAACGCAAACAATGTTGAGCGAACATTCTATGACAAAAAAGAAGCACATTTTCAGACATTGGACTGAAATGCGAACCTGGAGTTCGTTGGTGACCGGGTACTCTTCAATGTTAATGTAGTTCTTATTGAGCGACTCCATAATGAGCTGGTCGCATTCAGGCTCCATCCATGTCGTCACGAACGACGCCAGGTTGAGCCGCGGGTTGCAGTCCAGCAGCAGCTCGTCGTGAATCATCTGATACGCTGCCTCCTTGGGAATACCCTCCTTGGGAATCTGGTACCTGCAGGAGAGGATATTGCAAAATGCGGGTTTGTAAGAACCGGACATCCAAAAACGACAGTTTGTAAAAGCATTGGGTACCCCGCTTTCGGGAATGTGCAAGTGGGAGAATGACATTTCGCTGGCGTCCATACGTGCAAGTAGGGGAGAAATTTACTTGGGAACGCTCGCAGAAGTGTAACGCGAGCCGAAGACACACTCGACGACATGGTCGTCATCAACAGCACCAGCAGAACCGGCAGTGGTATGAAGCATGGCTGCTAACGATCACGACACGCTTCTTGCAGGCACGAAGGTCAGAGTGGCAGCTCCTAAAACGAAGCGGATGCGGTGGTCAATGTGAAGAGTAAAGCACTCGCTACACACAACGAGTGAAGTGAAGGCGTTGCCTGAAATGCAAGCTCTTTGCTCGAATTTGAGCAACTTATAGAATCAAGAAAATCGCTTGGCTATCTGTTGTTTCAATCCTTTTCACTCTGATGGCAGGCTGGATGAAAAATGTTGGCAGGCTGGATGATACTGGGATTGGAATGTGGAAGTGTGGCTTGGAGCAAAATGTTGGCTCAACATTGCTGACTGGTTCCGCAAGCCTCTAGGCCCTTGGTTTGGAATTGGAACATTTCCTGAAAATACATATCTCTGGTGCCTTGGTCGAGATTTATCACAGGCTCGGCAGAGCTGACACCCCGTTCGCTACACCTTGATGCCCGGCAGGATCGATTTGGGTACAGAAGCAATGATGGTCCACACATTACAGGCCCGCAAGCATAACATTTAATGGATCAAGCTACGGTTCTGTGAAAATTTGCAGAAAGATAACCATCGGTATGCAGAAAACGGAGCGCTGTCAGTGTGGCTATGTCCAAAAGCCCTTTACATCACCGAACAAAGGCGAACAATAGAATCCATAACTTCTCGGAAACAACAAAACAAATATTGAAAATAATGTGTACATAGAGGCTGACCTGGCAAATGGCTGCGGATTGAGTTCTGGGAACTCTGATTCGCAGGCGCGCAGGTCTGGGAAGCGGAAACACGGAAGGATACAAGACAAATCTCCCCGAGCCCACCTCGTTCGTTGGTACAGTTTCCAGCATACACCTTGAATGAACCTATTTCGTTCTGGGCTCGAGCAAATCCAGCATCTCAGAAAAAGGCAAACCTTTCAAGTCTGAAATCCTGAAGTACTAATCCAGGGGGGAGGTCTGGTTGATCATACTGTCCAAAATCCATTTGTCCAAGGCAGAGGAATCATCCTTGGTATTTTGAAAAAGTTGAGCACATCTGACGCTTTTTTAAATTCACAATAGCAGACATATTATGATGCTGGACGGTCTTTGATTCCATAGATACCATACTACACTATTAATGCACATTGAGATGTGCAAAACACCAGCAGGGCGCCAGCCACAGAAGTATGCTCTGTGTGCTTCCCCTCCAGTAGCAGTGCTTCTAGCACACCCCGTTGGTCTTGGCAATGCTGTTCTTCTTGAACACCCTGAAGGTGCGTTGGCGCAGCGCAGACGAGTCCATCGAGTGGCTGTACTCCAGCTTGTTGGGCGGCATCAGCCGCGTGCCTGCCAGTGGCGACAGCACATACGCCTCGTCCGCTGCCAGGTCACGTGCCATCCTGGACTTGGGCTTAGGCACCTCTGCCGTCACAGGCGCCTCCTCAGGAATGGAGGAAACTGCGGGAGCAGCAGCAGTGGCAGCTGCGGGAGTGACTGTGCGAGGAACGGTGGCGCCTCTGTCCTCAAGAATCTTGAGTGTCATGCGCACGTCGTTCAGGAAGCGGTCGGCGAGCGAGCGGGAGAAGTCCTCTCGGACGAGAGCGCGCAGCATGGTGACGTGTTCGAGGTCAGGAGCCATGGTGTAGGCCGGGATGATCCACCCGAACTGCTTCAGCACGTCAGCAATGTCATACTCGTTGAAGGGGCCATCCTTCTCCTTGAGTGCGAAGGTGACGAGGGGCACGCCGACGTCCTTAGAGAGGATGTCAAAGCACCCCATGTCCAATATTGCGTTCTTCAGGTACATGGCGTTAGTCTGACAATTGCCTATGATCTTGCTGTAACCCTGTAGCGAGTATGGTTGGAGGTGTGGGAAAAGATGTGATTGAGAGGATAGGGCAGAGGTTGTTCAGGTTGTGGTAAGGATTACAGGAAGACGATGGGGAGGGAGGGACGGGGATAGGACCATGTGACAGAATTCATAGGAACAGCCCCAACAGTGATGGCCCTAATCATGGCAAAATCAGAACTCTCACCTCAAAGCCGAGGCGGACGAACTGATAGTACTGTGCAATCAGCTGGCTGGAACCTGCATTAGAAAACGGGGTGGTGGTCAGAAAAGGGAAGGAGGGTGACTATAATGAATGCACGTTCGTTTCATGTGTAATATTGGGTACGCGAGGCTTGTTTGAAAGCCATGCAAGATGGTGGGGGATGCGAGAAGCAGGGTGGCTCCGAGCTGGAGCTCGCAGCAAGTAGACTAGTAGAAAAAGATAGCCGGTCCCAAGCCCGACCGACCACATCAATCCACCCACCCAGAACCACAGCAATCCCCAATGACCAGGCTATTTGAATCCACCAAGACAGTACCGCAGCGCACCTTTGGAGAAGTTGAGCGTGAAGGTGGGCTGGTCCGCGCCCAGGTAGTTGACGTGGAAGATGAGGTCTTCGGGGAGGTCGGCCTTGCTGCGCCACACCACCCACCCCACGCCGGGGTACACGAGCCCGAACTTGTGCCCGCTCACGTTGATGGACCGCACGGTGGGCAGCCGGAAGTCCCACTCCAGGTCGGGGTACAGGAACGGCGCCACGAACCCGCCGCTCGCCGCGTCCACGTGGATCGGCGTGTCCCACCCGGTCTTGGCATTCTTCTCCACTAGAAGGTCGTTCAGAAGCTTGATGTCCTCAAATTCCCCGTTATAAGTGGACCCGAGAATGCCACAGATGCAGATGGTGTTCTCGTCAACGGCCTCCACGGCATCGTGCGGGTCCATCACGAACGACCCTTCCTTCACATTCACGAACTTGGTCTCCACCTCGAAGTAGTTGGAGAACTTCTCCCAGCACACCTGAATTCGGATGAAAATGGCCAGCAAATGAGAAAATGTGAAAGGTAAAAGACGAATTATAGCTGCAAACTCGAGGCGCAAACGGGAAAGATAGGATTCCTCCTCAATACCGCAACCGTCAACGCGAAATTAATGTAAAAAAAAACAAAAACACATCTGGAAAGTATAAGCAAGATAGATTACCTGGACTTCAGAGCCGCAGATAAAGTTAGGCTTATCGTACGGCTTCCCCTCGGCCTTGCGCTTTTCCTGCCACTTGCGCTTGAACGCGAGTCCCGCCAGCATGATTGCTTCCGACGACCCCACGCACCCTGCGCCGATGGCTCCCTCCCCGTCTCCCAGAGGGGCGTGGTACAGATTCGCGATGATGTTCACGCAACGCTCCTGCAGGGTGAAAACAACGACAAACAAAACACACAATGTTAAGGGAACAACATACGATGAAGTCACTTTTGAGAATTCTCAACATCACATGACCAAGAAGCAGAATTTCGAGCTCTTGGATAAAAATCGCGAACCTGGAGTTCGTTGGTGACCGGGTACTCTTCAATGTTGATGTAATTTTTGTTGAGCGACTCCATAATGAGCTGGTCGCATTCAGGCTCCATCCACGTGGTCACGAACGATGCCAGGTTGAGCCGCGGGTTGCAATCCAGCAGCAGCTCGTCGTGAATCATCTGATACGCCGCCTCCTTGGGAATACCTTCCTTGGGAATCTGATACCTGCAGGAATGAGAATTGCAAAATGTGGGTTTCTTAAAGGACGTTACGTTAGAATCGAGAATCCAAAAACGACAGCTGGTAAATTATCCGCTTTCGCGAGTAAGGAAGTGAGAGAATGACATTTCGCTGGCGTCCATACGTGCACGTAGGTGGGAAAAGGAGAAATTTACTTGGGAACGCTCGCAGAAGTGTAACGCGAGCCGAAGACGCACTCGACGACATGGTCGTCATCAACAGCACCCGCAGAACCAGCAGTGGTATGAAGCATGGCTGCTAACGATCACGACACACTTCTGGGAAGAACGAGGGTCGCAGAAGCAGCCAGCAGTAGGAAGCCTGTGCGATGAACGATGACAGAAGACTGACACAGGCAACGGGAAAGGCGTTGGCTTGAAATGTAAGCTCTTGGCTGCAATCTCAGGAAACTTATACTAGCTGGATGGCGGCTTCTGATGCCTGAAAGTTCAGATAACCATATGGCGCGGAGGAGATTGGTTTGGGATGGAATTCTGGGCGAGAGAAAGAACCAAACCATTCGGCCTCGTTCGGCAACATCGAGGCTCAACGCCTTGGTTTTGTTGCAAATGGGATTCTGTCTAGAACTCGGTTCGGGTGACCGGCCTTGAGTTGAACAGGCTCGGCAGTGACGTGGCGGTCAATAATTATTTGGATATTCCCCCCTCAGGTTGGAGGCTGATCTGGCATGATGCTTTTCTCCGCTTTGTCCGTAAAAGCATTCAGGATCACAAAAAGGTCCGGAAAGCAAAAAGGTCAGCAGAGCAGCACAGGATAAGCAGTACAGTACACGATCACTGTTGTTCACCTCATTACGTGGCATAACATCAGTCTCCGAAGTCACCTTCTGTTACGTAAATCTGCACATTTTAAAAGTAACTTCATTGAATGTTTCTACATTTTTAACTAAAGTTGAATGCAAATTTCTACTATATGAAGTCGTCGCTTGAGCACCTCGAAGGATAGGTACAAACGTTGACAACCTACCATGACGCACATCGGCAATACAAACATAGCACACACATGGAAAGGACAATTGTCGATAGCAGGAAACCGAAGGTCTTCACGGCAGTACCACAACCATAAAGGGTTGTCCCATACCACACCCTGTCACAGTCTTTTTAGCAGACTCTTGGGCTTCCTCTATTGTGCTCCTCAGATGTGAACCGCGCTTGCTCGAATTCTTGCTCCCGGCTTCCGTTGCTGAAGCTCTACCTTTGCTCCCCTTGGC